AGATAAGTATATTTTTGCTTTTTTTTTGTTATACAACAATTAACATCATCATATATTAATTTTATTGCTTTATTTATCAGATATAATAAATTATCTTTATATGTAAGTTGACAAAATAATCTAAGTATAATTTTACTTTTTTTTATTATATAACGATTAAGTATCATCATATATAATTATTTTTTCTTTGATATATAACTATAGCCGATTTGTCATTTGAAAAAGTAAATACTTTTTTGAAAGTTTTGAAAATAGATACTAACGTAAACAATATTGCTTCTAATACTAACAATAATACTATATCTAATGATAATACTAAATCTAACGATAATACTATCTCTAATGATTCATCATCTAACAACACTACTTCTAATAATAATTTACCATCTAATGAAAACATTTTCAATAATAACTTACCATCTGATAACAACATTTTTCCTTATTTTGCCACTAATGTCGGTATTCCTTGATATCATTTAGTTGCATCACATTCACCTCAAAAAATCGCTGGTCCTCACCAACCTCTTAATAAAACTAATGATAATGATGATTCATCAGATTCCTCCAAAAATATTAGAAGTATTCAGAAAATATTTGCAAGAATGAGTGGTATACAAAAACAATCAAGACAGAATGCACAATCACAACAGGCATCTCTTTCATATCAGCAATCCTATACCAAATAAGTATCACCTCATAATGAATCACGTTCTATCGAACATGAAAGATCATTATCGCTGCAGCGTTCACGAGGAAGATTACGATCATGATTATGTGATCAGCAATCATCCAATCAAAACTATTCACGTAATTGAGATAGTATATAAATCTTTTTTTTTCACTTCAGATGTCAGATTCTATTTTTTTTTTTTTTTTTCTTTGTTTTGAAAAACTTTTTTTTTTTTTAATTAAATCTAAGAATGTTCCCAATATCACCACCAAGTCGACGAAAAGCTCTTCAAGCAAAACTAGCAGCTTTTTATTTTGTTTAAAGAGCTCTGCGATGATATAAGAGAGATTAAAGCTGAATTGAGAAGGTAGCAGAAAAAGCACGAAAATAATCTTTCACCCAAGTTTTGGACGTAAGTATTTGAGTTTATTTACCAAAGTATGAAATGTTAAGATATTTAGCATTTGGAAACTAAATAAAATTTTTAGAGAGTATTTACTAGTGTTGTGAAGCGTTTGTTTCTATATAATATATACCCAACCAAAATATACTAAAAGAAGTCTTGAGAACCTATCTCGAGGAGAAGTTTTCTAATTATATGAGAAATATAGATGAAAATCTTTATACTAATTGTTTTCACGGTGAATAATGCAATTTGGTATATTATATGTTAGTTATCGTTAACATTCGTTATTATGTAGTTTTCACGAATTGTTTTTTTCTGTATATTATTTTTACAATTCAATAGCTTCTTCAAAAAATGAAAAATCATCGAGATGCCACGCTACAAAGTGTAAGGTTAGCAATATAGCAAGTCTTTGGTTTTGAGCAACTACCTTTCTTGCGAAATAATGCTGCTGCTACTACAATCGTAAAATAGAAAAAAAGTTTAGAAGTAGATGATTGCTATTGCTTACTCTTCGAATTAAGAATCGATGATGTAGCTTGGATAACTGCTATTGCAAGATTGGTGTTTTCTGAAGTTGCTGTTTCTAATCTAAGCTCTAAACATTGTGCGTTTGCACTCGCTATTTGTGATATTTTTCTAAGTCCCAATCTAAAAGTGTAGTATATTCTGAAAAGCATATAACACGTCGCATCGAGTGTTATCTTGTAAATACAGTCAAACCTCTCTATAGTCACATCTTCGGGATACAAAAAACCGTGATTGTAAAGAGATATGACTAATATAGAGGTATTTTCTATATAGTTATAAATAATTGGTAAAAATAAATTTGTAATTATACCAATTTTGTGACTATAAAGGAGGTGACTATAGAGAGGTTTGACTGTATTCATTATGTATTATTTTAAAATAATCATTCTTATAATAAGCAATAATGTTTTCTTAATTAAATATAGAAAGATTTTAATAATAGTGGCCTTTTTTATTCATCTGCCAAATTAATATTAAATAACGAATTAGAGACTTCCCGTAACGAACGAATAACTTCTGAACCTAAAAACTATGTGAATTCTCAAGACAAGAACTCATATTCTCGAGGAAATTCAATGCAAATATCACAGGATGATTTAGATGACTTGTTTTTATAAGTGAATTAGTATTATAGTTTTTTTAGTATAGTACTTTATTAGGGCAGTGTTATTTATCACTTGATTATTTTTTATTAGAGGCTTATTCCCCCTTCCCCCTTCTTAATATAAAAAAAAAGCAGGTTCTTATATATAATCTTAACTTTTTTTTACCCCTCCCTCTAAAAAATCACCTGATTTTTGTCATGTCTCTTAGCAATATGTATTGTTTAAAAATATTAATAAAATATTAAATATTTTTATCATTTTAATAAAAAATAAATATTATATTTTATATTATTAAAAATATAAATAAATGCTAAATTTATGCTTATACATTTTTAATAAAATTTAAAGTGGTTACTATCTTATATTTCTTAGTATAATCGATTGTAATCGGTATTTTATAATAATTCGATTTTAATCGATTATTTGTAAAACTAGTTATATAGCGATTATTAACACAATCATTAATAATCAGCAAGAGTGATTATAATCGATATATATTCAATCTGGTTAGTAATCGATTTATATCAGTCTAAAAAATTTCCTGATACTTAGGGATTTAAAAGTAATTAACTTAGTACAAAAAAAACTTTTAGATATAGGACAATCATGACTAATAAATTACCAAACAATCACCAAAATAGGGCATGATGGACTTGGTAATTATATAGAGGCCTGACTATATAAATATACCTTATACTAAAACTTCAAGTTAATATCTTTTAAATTTATTTTTTAAATTTATTTAAAAATAAACCAACTTTCAACAAACTTTTCTTTTTATATCTAAAATTTATCTAACAAAAATCAACTATATCTTTATACTCTACTAAATAAACCTTACTTGATACTCTAAGTAATCTTGATCTTGAGACTAAAATATACACAATACCTAAATTTCAAATTGGTATATTCTGGACTTACTAAAAAAAAACTAACAAAACGTCTCATATAATTAAAATTTATTTTTAATTATACTTAATAAAAACTACCGGTATACTATAACTCAAAAATAACCTCCTTAGTAGTCTTAAGTAAACTTGTTTCTTATACTTTTTTGATTCTAATAGTAACAAAATTATTAAAATTAGATTGATTTAAAGTTAACTAATATTTGCTAAATTTAAATATAAATAGCTCAAGAATTTTTAAACCAAATTTAATAGTTTTACTAATATTAGAATCAGAAAGTCTGAGAAACAAATTTGCTTAAAACTACTAAAGAGGTTTACTTAAAAACAACTTTTATTTTAAAGTATTTTTTGTTTAGAATATTACTAACTATAACCGGTGATGATCATTACTGGGTGCTTATTATATCTCAAAAACATAATAAGTAAACAGGATTAGGTACTCTAAGTAAAAATATTTAGAATATCCAAAAACCTTATAAAAACTGAAATTAGAACCTTATATCTAATCTATATTATATTATATATAAAAAACAAAATCTCTATAGCACTCTAACCCTAAAAATATCTAGTGGCGGTGATGATCACCGCCGGTTATTTAAAGAAATAGTTTATCAATTTAGTTTAGAAAGACATATACTAATTAATTTTAAAGCCTAAAAATGTAATCCGAATACTTTTTGCTAAAAACCAAATGTTATTAATAAAATATAAATTCATACAAAATAGTGCATATGCATAAAATTTACTTTTTTCATATAAGTACTGCTACTAACAATTTCTTGACTTGGAATTGGTGTAACTTTTATACTATACAATTCTTGAATTTGAAAAAATTTATAATTTAAAGAATTGATATATATAAAATTTTACCAAGGAATAATAGTTATTATTTATTCATATTATTATAATTTATTATAAAAGTTTGATTTATTAAGAATAAATTGCAGCTAAAAACTAAAAATAGCAGAAGAAACCATAAGAAATCTTCAAATAGTGATAATATAAGAGGCAAAAGAAGATTGATGTCTAAGGAGAATATTTCTCGTTTTAAATAGTAACAGAACACCAAATTAGTATTTTGCATTTTTGTTCTTAAAAGAAAATTTCATAGTGTTTGTGCTTTTAACTGTTTCAGAACAAGGTATCCCATCGTCAACGGTCCCCGTAGTAAATGATGATTTATTTCCAACTTTCTGAAGTGCGGCTTGTTGTAATCGAGCCATTTCTTTTTCTTCTCTCTTTCTCTCTTTCTCGCGTTTTTTGTCTAATTTTGCAACTGGGCGATTTATAGTCTCTTTCATTTCTTTGAATCGCTATAAGCCAAAGCAATTAATAAGATATTTTGCCGTTGCTAATCAGATGGAAATTCGTGACTATACCTTGCGATGGTTATGATCATATGAGCTCAAATGCGTTTCATATTCCGTTATTTTCGTATATTGCTTATCACATAGTGCGCAATAGAAAGCAGAATTGATAATTTCTAATTCCTTTTTAATGGATTCTTGTTTTTGTACTTTGTTCTATATTAAATTAAACATTAGACTAAAAATTCAATTGAAATTAATCGATACAAATTATTTTAATTAAAGTTAACCTGTCTTTGTTGACGCTCTTCTTCTGTTTCTTCTGCGATTTTCTCACTGTCTAATGCCTTACGTTTTGCAGTGCTAACTACATGATAAAAATTTTCTTCCTCAAGTTTTCCGACACCCAAACAATCAGACTTTGTATCTATACGAATTGGTTCTTTTCTTCCTATAATGATTTATTAATAAATAGTCAGACCTAAAATAAAATTAAAATATCAACATAATTCCAAAATCTGTTAATAATAACCTTGTTGCAAGCTTCCAAGTCCTTGACCGGCTTTCCATCCCATTTTTGTTAATAATTTGTAACCTACGTTACTTTCTGGAAGATGTATATCCATGCTAGCCATGTCAGTGTTTGATAAATCAAGGTATGCTTGCGGAACATGACCACGAGGCAGAAGAAAAACTTGATCTTCTAGAGGTTCATCATTTTCTTCAGGATGATTTTCGCCAGTCGAGAAATTCTGTTAGGTAGGACACGGTAGTATTTTCCACGATGAAGAGAGGAAATGAAAGGAAGATATAAAGAAAAAGAGAGGCTAATGGTAATATATGGCACTTTATTATGAACAAAGATTCCTTCAAGAAAACACATTCACGATAAAAGTTCGTAACGTTGAGGTGTGGAAGGGGAATAAGAGGCACTAACCTTGGTAGTCCGAGATTGACTCGAAGTATTCAAAGTATTCAAAGTATTCGAGGTATTTGAAGTATTAGGATTGTACATTATTTAGATATTATCAATTGAAAAGAAGTCAAAGTTCAGGATTTAGCACATATCGATAGGAATAGTAAAGTCAGTCCAGGTTCGTCTTGATCCTAAGACTTTTAGGTCCTGTCGTGCAGACTTTCACCCATACGATACTATTGTCCTCCAAAGATCGTTATTGTATGATCCAGCCAATCGGAGTCACGGAAAAGTAATCGTGTGATAGAACTTACTATGGCCTATAGAAAAGTTAGGGCTTAGTCTTTATGATTAGGTCCCAGGACCAGGCTCTAGGGTCCTGGACCTAAAAGTTTTACCATCCCTACGAGAATTATTAGCTATTGGATTATCAGATAATCAATGCTAATTTTATGAATTCCTTCTTAACTCGTTTCAAATTACTTTTAACCTTACAGCAAACTTATTCGCGTGTTATCAATAAAATGCCCAAAGGAGTAGTTGCAATTGTGGGTACAACAGGTGTTGGTAAATCTGACCTCGGGGTTCAATTAGCAAAAGCCTTAAACGGAGAAGTGATTAACGGAGACTCTATGCAGGTACTAAACGACAAGAACATTTATAAGAAAATTTATAATGAACACCTTATAAACACACATGATAAAAAGTAGCAATGATCACTCTGAGTTTTCCTAATCCGAAAGATCTATACAAAGAGTGAGAACCTATGAAATATTTTTGTCTTTTTTTTAAATGAGAATTTAATTAAGAGAATTTAATTCTAGATCAATTATTTACAGTTGACCCTCGTTAGTATCAACCTATTTGGATCACCTTTATATTCATGTTGATAGTGATCTTAATGAGAGTTTATATTAAAGTTGATATATATGAGGGAATTTTGATATATAAAAATTTATAAAAATTTGTTTTGTG